GCTAAAGACATTCACATTAATCTCATACCTGTTTAGCCAACTAATCATCAAATGTCAAACCATGGTCACTAATCCACTAATTCATCAAATAACATAGGTTTCTAGAGTACATGATGAGGGGGGCAACAAAAATGATCTATTGATTTGCCTTTCTATCCCCTAAAATGTCACAAGCACATTTTAGCTCATGATTGTCGCATAGTTCGATATAATTATTAATGAGAAAATGATGGTTGTCTTTGCTCTAGAACAAGTAGAAAAGTTAGTGAAAAAGGGTTACCACTACTTATTGAGTACGATCAAATACCTTACGCCAAATTTAAAGCATTATGTGGCAATACTAGCGGTAAAAATGCATCATTATTTCTCCAATTCGTTTATTGAGCTCGAAAGTATGTTTTAAAAAAATGGGTCAGCGCTTCAAAGAGAATAACCATTGCTGATCTAATCTTAGAGAAAAAAAGAAGAGATAAATTAGTTATGGAATACATTACTTGTTTGCGAAATATAAGCATAAAATATGAACAACAACTTAAAAAGTAACATACAATCCAATTGCTAATGGGCAATGTCGATGAGAAGATGGCGCCTTAGTTATGTATAGCCTTTATCACAACATTCTAAGAGTTATTGGATAGGGTAACAAAATTCAAAGAGTTGAACCTTTCAAAGTTTGAAGCCCACCTTGATCACCTTTATTTTTTGGTGAATGGTGATTAGTGTTTAGTTTGAAGCATTCTATTTTAATCATATCATTTATCTTCTTCAAATCATTTCATATTGATCTATATAATAAACATCATGACATAGGATGAATAATATCTCTATAATATTAAATTCAAGTCTTTCAGTATAACATGATCAATTGTCTTTGGTAAAGAAAATTCATATAGCATTAATTCATAGAACATTAATAATAAGAATTAAATAATAACAGTATTTGATGCATCATATGTAGGAGAAGCAAATATCATAACTATAATTAAAAGACATGAGAACTCACCTTAAACTTAGGAAATGCGATGTTTCACTTTTACTCCTTATTACAATGATGGTAGATTTAAAGCCTATAAAAGATGACTTCATTAAATTTAATTAATTATATGCAATTAAATTCTCTAACTTAATATTTTAAATTTTTTTCCCTTTTTAATAATATTTTAATTCTTAAAATTAATCATATAGTATGTCACTAATAATGATTTCTTTGATTATTAAAATTTAAAATACATGTTGTTTGCTCTCTCTTTCTCTTTCTCAAAGTAGCTAATTAAAGCCTCTAATTGCTCTCACATTTGATTGATTTTTAAAATATTTATGATAATTACAATCTCATATATTAAAATTTACATACAAAAATTCTCTCTCTTCTAATCTATATTTTTATTTAATTAATATTTTCTATATTATTAATATGTCATTCATCACTAATCATTCAATTCCTTATTTATATAATTAATTTTCCTAATTAGTGTTTTCAATTAAAATCCATATTTTATTTAAATATCATAATCTCTCAAACATATGCTCTCTCTAATTATTATTTTCTACACATTCTTATATTAAGATATTTTAAATTTAATATTACAAAATATAAATTTCTTCCTTTTAAAATACATATATTTTCTCATAACTTAACTTTCTTGTTAATTAAATTCATAATAATTAACTAATTAATTACAAATAAAAATTTTCTACAAATATTAAGTTTATTTTCTTTTTAAATATATACACATTTATTTTCTTTCTAATAACCTAAATACCTAAAAAAAATTCTCTCTAAAAATTGAACTTAAAATTTTCAAAGAAAATTAGTCTTTCATAAAAATATTTTCTAAATTAACTCTATTAATCTATAACTTAAATTTAATAAGTGCTAAAAAAATTTCTTACCTTCTTCCCTTACACGAGACTCTTGCTTATCCTACCCATCGAGTTCGCTTCCTTCCTTCTCTCTTTCTCTCGATCTCCCTTGCTTGCTGATCAATCCCAAACCCTAATTTACACGCACGCGTCTTCCTTCTTCCTCTCTATTTCCTTCTCTTTCTCTCTATTTCTTCCTGATGAGGACATCGGAGATCAATGGCTATGATTTTTTTTTAGTTATTTATTTATGTTTTTGTACTAGTTTATTTTATATTGTTGTTTTTCCATTTATACCCTTATGGGTGGTCATGTAGTGTTGTAGCCCGAAGGGCATTTTAGTCTTTGTTATTTTTTTTTCATGAGGCCTATTTATAGGCTAGCTTTCTTGTATTGAGGGATGATGATTATGGAAATGAAATTCTTCTCTTTGTGTTCTCTTTGTGAGTTCATATTTTCTTGATCTCTTGGTGAGTTCAATTTTCCTAGATCTCTGTGTGAGTTCTAGGGAAAGCCCAAGGTAAGGGCAAAAGCAATACCCGCCAGTCGTTGGAAGAGTCCTCGATTCGTGGTTAGATTTTTCTATCTTCTCGTTCGTGTTCACATTCATCTCCTTCCCCTCCACTACAAGAAATCCCTCTTCAATCCCATTGCCGCCGCCCCTTGGGAACCCGCCGCCGACCACCACCACACCCCGGCCGGCCACCTTGCCGGCGACGTCCCCTCACCCACCCGACCCTTCCCTTTACAATTTTCAAATTTGAAATTTGAAATTTTCAAATTTTGAATTCTTTCCTAATTTGGAACTCCTATTTAGGAAAGTCTTCATGATGGAATTCAATTCCAATTTGATTTAGATTGGAGTTATGAAATCTATTGCCACGTCATCATCCGAAATTGGAAGCCTTTTCCTTGAATTTCCTTCTCTCTCTTAGCATGCCGCCGGCCCCTTAGTGGGAATTAATCCCATTAATTGCTACTTAACTCTCCTTCCCCAAATTTGAAATCAAATTGATTTCAAATTAATTTCCCACCCTTTCTATTCAAAATTCTGAAATTAATTTCAGAATTTGAGTTTAAAACCTCCCTCCCTCCTCTAATGAAACCGCCGGCCCCCATATTGGGCTTCCCCCCATTAATTCTTTCCATTAAGGGATTAAGTGCAATCAAAGTTTGGGATTCAAATTCCAAATTACTCCCTCCAAAACCACTTGAATCTGAAATTTATTTCAGTTTTCTAAAGTATTCCCTCTCCCTCTAGCTCACGGCTAAACCCTCCTCTCCCAAATCACTGGCTGCTCTCTTGCAACCTACTACCCAGCTGAGTGGACAAATCCGGGCTGCTGTCACCAGTCCAGGAAAGCCAAAATCAGCAAGGAAGGGGTCCAAGAAGGCCTCCCAACTGCTGCCCAGGACTTTCCCAAGTCTTCCAAGTGGTTTTCCCAAGTTTTCTACAAAACAAACTGTTGTCCCTGCTGTCCAGAGATTCCAGTAGCAGTTTGCTGCTGCCCCAACTACTCCGGGAGCAACCATCAATGGCCCGACGACTGGGAATCGTTCTCCCATGTTGAAGACTCGCTGACCAAGAAGGTGTTCGTGGATTGTGGTTGTCCAAGTCATCCAAGAAGCTATCAAGCCCCACCTACTTCCGATCCAACCCACAAAGCACCACCGGAACCTTGTATTACCTCATTCCTTGGGTGAAACTCTTTTCCTAATGCTCTTATCTTCCTAGTTTACTTTTCGTTTATGGTTATTAATGGATTCATAAAGATCATGTCAATCACTCGCTGCTAAAGCCTAGTAATTAGAAGAGTTGTGTGAGGGATCTTCTTATAACAACTAATCTTATTGTTAATATTGGAATTTCTCGTTGAAACGACTCATGTATGCAAAGTAGATTTAGTTGATTATTTAACGATCTCAACCTCTCGCATGTGTTTAGACCTAAGCTATTTTATCACCTTAATGTTATCTTATCGTTTACATCAATAGAGGATTTTGCTTAACATTGCTCTCTAAAATTTACAAGTGGAAACTTCTTTAAGCAATTCACTTTCGCATGGATTGTATCACATCACTTCCATTCTTCATCTTTCTCTTGGCACAGCTTCCTCTCATTCAAAGCCACTTCAGTTCAAAAGGAGGGAGCAACACTTATTCTCCACGATGAGTCATTACTTTTTGCATCCAAATGTATTCCCTTGCTCGATTTTGCGATTCGACCCCACTAGAAGTAGAAGCTCCTATGCTCGCGGTTTGGCAGATCGACTCCACTCGTTGTGCTCGCCCAGTTCTTTCGTTCGTCTGTTAGAGTATTAGGACCGGTTTAACTCAACTTGCTAAGCCCGGTTCTCACATCAAGCATTCCCCAACTATGGCACAATGATCCAAAATTAGTTTTGGGGTAGATGATTCCCTTATAAGCTCATATGGTCATCAGTTTAGTGGAACCAAGCCAAATTGTATGTCAGTTTAGTGGAACCAAGCCAAATTGTATGTACCTAGTTTAATCATTGGGGTGCCTCAAGATTCATATTTGACATCAAAATTTGTGCTTAATAAGATAAAGAACTTTATGTTTGAAACAAGGACTTACTATCCATTTAATAGTAATCTAAATAACAAATAGCACATAGACTGCAATTAGGAGTAAAACACAAGTTGATTTGGAAAGATATGGACCAAGAATAAAACATGCATGTAGAAACAGACTTGATTAAGACACTTAGAGATTAAACAAAAGCATGCTCATTTACATTTATATAGTTAAGCTCAAAATCAATTAGCTTCACCACTCAACTAGTTTTAAACTATTCCCAGACACTAGATTAGATGGAGCGCACTTTCAACAAATATCAGTAAAACCATAGTTCATTCTATCAAAGCTTGGGCTGAGTAACACAAATACTATTAAATTAAAGAGGCATTTATTTATGGAGAATTCGTGCAAACAAAATAAACAATATCAAGGATTGTTTTCTTTTCTTTTCTTTTCCTTTTTTTTCTCCTCTCCCTTTTTTTTTGGTGGAAACAAACGTAGAGCACAGATCCAAAATAGGTAAACACATACATAGACATCTAGCACAAGTCCACAAGTATGCAAAGAATGTAAAAGAGAGGATGGGCACATCTACCTGTTGCTGAAGAGAAACCCTCAAATTTGGACATATAGCACGGATTGAAATGACATCAGGCTTCTGGGAATTATATATGTTCTTTGCGAGAGAAGAAGCACCCCATATAAATGTGGTGCCTGAAGGGAAATCTATGTGGGCATCAAACTTCGTAAGATCAAAAAAAAGCCGCTGGAAATTCCCAAGCTGTGCTTTAAAAGTAAAGGATGCAAATAGATCTGAAAAGAGTCCAAAATTATTTTTTTGAAAGCATAAATTGAAAGAATTGCCACTTCTAAGCATTGTTTTCACATATCTTGCTGAATTTTCACCCAGAGATGCACTCGCCACAGCACCTGAAAGTATTAGCATTATCTAAAATATTAATATGACCATTTACTTAGCACAGCAGTAGCATAAAGCTATTGTTGGCAAAAACAGGCATCAAACAGCGTTTATGAAAATTGAGCCTTGCAAAAATTTAAGATGATCGCATTGTAGGATATCTGGTGAGATTTATAACAGCTATGTTCTTTACAAAGACGTAAACGCATGAATATAAAGCAAATTTTGAGACGTGCATGATTCTCTAAGCTCCTACTGCAAATTTTGCTCAATTTCAAAAAATCAAAATTTCTGATTCAATAACAATCATCTAATGATGTGCTGTGGTTCTTTTATCAATAAAAAGTCATAGACTCCAAATACATGTTCTTAAGCTCACTCTCATTACCATTACCATTGGTACTTTCTTCTCCTCAATTGACTACAGTGAATGTAACAAGCTTTTGATTGATGAAGGGATGGATACCACTATGATTCAAGGGAAATTCTGATCAATGTCTACATAACCCTTCTAAAGGATTTACCCAAGGAAATAGTTAGGATGTCCCACCGTGACTTGGAGCGTCATAGGTGGTTGAAACATGGAAATAAACTCTTCTATAAAAAGTCAAGGAAAAGTACATCAACCCCTTCCAAAAGTAGTGAGAGCGTCATGCACTACGCCACCCTTTTATAATATCTACATCATATCTCTTCTCCAGTTTATCACGTGTAAGTTTGCACTGCCGATTTCATAAACCAATTTCACAATGCAAACTAAGCTACAACTCATATATGAGGGTTGAAAAGATATTGGACCAAGGAGATTATCCCCTACTTGTAGTTCTTTCATTTTATTATTTACTGTATGATAATATCAATTATCCCAAAGTTGCACATCCATCTGGTGTGATACACATCATAACAAACATCAGTCGATAAGAACATATGACAAATATCACTTGGCTTTTTCTCAATTATACAGCTCACTATCAGATTCTTTTCCATAGGGAAAACATATAGCATATATAGCCGGCAGTTACACATTTCAAAAAGCATGGTATGCTGCAGCATTCAGTCATCACAGTACAAAAGGCAAAATATGCCAATAACACCAAGTATGGTCGACAAACCATAGGGAGGACTACACAAAGCGTATAAGTTTATGCTTTTCTCCTCTCATTCTACACAATGAAAAGCTAATATAACAGTAGACTTTTGATTGAAAACTTAGCAAAAATGTATGTATATTAAATGATAAGCAATTCAAATAACAAATTAATCTTTTGCTCTTAAGGAATTGGGTTAGTGCCCAGAAGGAGCCAACATATCTTCGTAAAATAACTGCATAAGAGATTATTTTAAAATAGAACTGTAGGCACGAAACTTAAATTTTCTAAGAAAATAGGTTGTTTGGCTCAGAAAGTGTGATATGGCATTATATATGAACAATCAGAAACTTATCTAGATTTAGATATGATATTGTTGGTATTTAGAGAGAACTCAGCACTTTCATCTAAGTTTGAAAGTATACTCACATCTTTCGACCCTATGTGGATTAAACAATAGAAAAAGAAAAGAGACTTCATATTTATCATTTTAATGATTAGGAAATATAGTGGTACATGAAAGATATCTGAATCACGATCAGAAACTGAACCGAACAAATATGCTAAAGCATAAATAAGGGATCTTTTATCCTTACATACGTTAGGTTAGAAGTAAAGTAAACTAAGGGTAACTTTTATTATATCAAAATAAAAATAACCCCATAGCTTTATCAGTTGACCCATTCTACTTAACTCACTACAAGCAAGTAAGCAGATAGACAACCAAATAATTTTAAAAAGATTAGATGTGAGACAATTTTTATGGTTTTCACAGTACACAATGACCGCCCCCTGAATATCAAATGGAATCAAGATCGAACAACCAAATTACATTCCGTGATGAAAAGATTTCATATGCAGCTCTGCAGACTCTAACCTTGTTCACTCGCAGAAGTTTATGAACTAATCACAGCATTGAAATTCACATCTTCAATCAATCATGCAACAAAGTATTAATGAAAAAGAAAGGCTTACCAAATATACAAACTCCAGAGATGTGGGGATTTGAAAGAAATACATCATATGGTTGAACTAATTTAAGCTTCCCTTCCTTCTTTCTCCAAAACTCTACATGTTTCTTCATAGAAATGGCAACTTTTGCACACAAACCAGGCAGCAGAGACATAGGCGCCTCAGTTTTTTCATTACCACCAAAGTGCTTAGGTTGCCCACTATTGTGTTGTAACAATAAATGGTAATTCAGACCAGAATCTAATGTAACTGAAGCAAGATCAATAGCCACTGACAATGGGACATCCCAATACGTTCCCTTTTTGTCCACAAAAAGTCCAGGGCAAGCTGCCTCCAGCATCAAGTTATGTCTTTGAAGCTGCAAGTAAACACAATGCTGTACAATAAAGACAGATACTGTATAACAGAATCTTAAAGGGTGTTAAGGTAATATAGCTTCCACACAAATTGATTATGAAGCACATCAAGAGTCCTCTGAGAAAACAACATAGATTTAATTAAATAGAACTATGAAGGCTGAAGTCGAGAAGCAATTGGTCCCTGTAGCCTGCAACAAATTAAAAGAGTGATTTCTACTTTGAGACCTACATGCTACAGGTTTCAACAGATCACATCCATCATAGTGATGAAGATGCTCACAAAGTTCGTTAAAAAAAGGGCAGTTTAGAAGAATTCATATCACCAAACTGTTGGGGTAAACTAAAATGCTAAGTAGCAAAAACTATCTAATTAAATCCTTTGATGAGATATCATTAAATTTATTCACCATACTAGATGCCCAAGGAACTGCCAACAATTTTCTCAAAACTAATTCGGAAAATGCAAAATCGTAATGTTCATGCATGCCATTGTGAGTAACTCACAGGTACCAAACAGGCTCATTTCACAAGGAGCTCGGCCAAGAAGAGCGCCCGCCCAAAACGAGCCATGCCCTAAGAAACATCTGCCAAAGCAAGGCTTGGAAGCAACAAGTATTCGCCACAATGAAGCTCACAATATAAGAGCTCACCTAGGATACATGTATTCCAAGCATCTTAGACCAAATAACCCACCTCGGCAAATCTTTATTCGAAGAGGTACTCGCCTTATGATGACTTGGCTCTTGTAGCAGTTCTCCTAAGCTAAGACCATTCATCTTCCAGGGGTATCTTCGTCCAAGCTACAAGATGGACACACTTATGAAACTCTGGCTCTATCAAATATGTTGATCCCCATCTCACAACCACACTGATCTAGGAGACTCGCCACTGGTCCAAGGAACTCGCCTTCATAAACTCACATGAGGTGCTTGCCTCTAAGAACATACCCAAGGAATTCAACCCAAGGACTTCCCCAAAGTACTAGTAAAAGGCATCCCAAGCCATGTTAGAGGCAGATGGTCTCCAATCTAATCCACGAGTCTTTATTAATCTATATATATTAAAATATGAATTATTTTTTTTTAATTTTTGAATTGCATAATTTCATGAAGTCTTCTTAACCCTATAAATAAGAGGATAAGAAGCACCTTTTAGAATTCATGCCATTACAACCATTTACAGATTACTCAATCTTTCATATTCTCTCCATACTCACAGGTTTCCTCATCGTATTCTTTCGCTTTGACTATCCCAACGTCTTAGTAAGGTCAAGTGTGGCCCATGGAAAAATTTAGATCCAACGACCTCTAAGATGCAATGAGTATGGATTGATGCCAGAGACAAAAAGATAAGTATATCATGAAGAACAACAAAACCAATATTTGTCAGTTAATGGAAAATTAAAACTTCACAACCCACCGTGATTTGCCAGTCGCTCGCTCCAGAGTGTCGACAAGGCAACACCAACCCCAACATCATACGCATGATAAAAGCTGCACGAGGTATCACAACGTGGAGAGAAGACAGCATGCACAACACAACCAATGTCATCATGGCTAATAAAAGGTGCCACTACAAGAGACACCATTCAAAATCACCGGATCGCCTATGTCGCAAAAAGAGAAAACGCCACGCTAGCTCGCTCATACAGTGATAAGGGAACGCACCACATTCATTAGCATCTGACCATCACTCTCTTATTCATTCATGGTTATTTAGAACAGGGAGTTTTTCAAGCATCCTGCACTAATGAAAGCAAGTGCCCATGCCAAGAACCTCTCCAAATTTTATGCATTCCAAAAGGACCATGGGAATGATATAGAGGAGTGCTAAGAAGCCTAGTGGAGTACACAAGAAAAATAAGAATGCTGAAAGAATTTGTCCTAGCAAACTCAAGGAACATGCAAGAAAAGAATCTATAGAAGACTAGGAAATGAACCAGTTCCTCCTCGCACAATCCACATCACCAAGGTAGTGCCTACTATCATCGAAGGAGCACACATCTCGACAAGCAAGTCTTAAGTTCTTTCTTCAATGTAGAACATCAAGGAGAATTCATCCAAGCTCTCAGAGATTGACATTGACACCTTTTTTTGGACTACAACCAAAATGCCAACAAGGATAAAGGTTCAAGCCACCTATCACAAGCGGAACGTCAAGAAGGCTAGACCCATCAAATAGAAAAGAAGGACGGTTGTATTGATTCTTATTTCTTACTAAGCTCATAAAGCAAGAAGTCAAGAAACTCGACATCGAATCCATTGGGAACGTTCGGTACCTAGAATAGATCTCCAACATAGTGATAGTGCAGGAAAATGGCAAATATAGGATGTGTGTGTGCACTGCAGGAATCTAAACTCGACATGCCCAAAGGATAACTACCCACTCCTAAGGATCGATGTGATGGCTGGATTCATGGTTGAGCTTCTTGACGCATTCTCTAGCAACTACCAACTAAAAAGGCACCCCATTGACAAGGAGAAGACATATTATAACAAGGGAATGCCTCTACTTCTATAAAGTAAATGTTGCTCTATATAAAAAGTGATGGTGTAACTTACTAGAGCATGATGGACCGAGTCTTCAAAGACTAGAAAGAGAGAAATTTCAAGATGTATTGGATGATATGTTGGTAAAGAGCAAGTCACAGAAGCAACACATTCAAAACCTAAATGAGACACTTGCAACACTTAAAAAGGTACAATATATGGCTTAGCCCACTAAAGTGTACTTTGATACAAAATATGACAAGTTCCTGGAATTTCTCCTCACCCTAGAAAGAATCAAAATGAACCTATACAAAATGAAATTAAACTTGGAAAGGTCATTGCCTAAATTACAAGAGACATGCAACAACACATTGGGCAAGGCGTCAGACTCAATCACTTCATCTTCAAATTGGGCAAGTGGTCGCCCTTCTTCAAAATCCTTGAAGAGCTAAGTACTTCCTATAGAGCAAGGAGTATGAGGTAGCCTTCCAACAACTAAAGCTACTAAAAAGCACTTGGTCAAGAGAAGAAAGCAACAACATCGGTCTCCACTATAAACATCTGGCTGAAATCCGGGAGAGCTAAAATTGGGACTATAGTCATGACTTTCTTCAGTCATTCAAAAGCCTAAGTCGATGCCTCTCCCCATAAGAACACATTCTTCTTCAGTTACTCAATCAAGGGCAAAGCTATGGTAATGTAGATCCTCACAAATCTTCGGTAGTACCCAACTATGGTACTGTATCCCTCAACTCCCTCAAGTTCTTAGTCAAAGGCCACTGCTACATTGCCACAATATTGGTTTGATCAGCCACCACTCCTTCCCGAGATACCACATGCCCCAAGTACTCCAAGCTAGCCCGCGCGAAACTGCACTTCTTCAAGTAGGCCATCAGCTGATGCTCCTGTAGAACTCCTAAAATCACCCTCATGTGCTCCAAATGCTCATCCCCAATCTTGATATATACCAGGATGTCATTAAAGAAAACCAAGACAAACTTCCGGAGGTTAATAAGCCCAAACGGCATTACTAGGAACTCGTAGTGCCCCTCATATGTCTCGAAAGTTGTCTTCTGCACATCTGCCCCTTTCATTCTGATTTGGTGCAGCCTGACTTCAAGTTTAGCTTAGTAAACATCACTGCTCCTTACAGCTCATCTAGTAACTCATCAATCACAAGAATAAGGAACTTATTTGGACTGTCTCCTTTTTCAAGGTTCTGTAATCCACACAAAACCTCCAACTCCCATCCTTCTTCTTGACCAGTAAAACAGAACTAGAGAAAGGAATAACACTACACATGACGATCCCCACCTTTAACATCTCACAGATCAACTTCTCAATATCATCCTTCTGAATTTGCGGGTATCGGTATGGTCGGACACTAATTGATGACACTCCCTTCTTCAAGGTAATGGCATGCTCGAGCTCTCTCTACGGAGGTAAACCCTGAGGAGGTTGAAAAACCTCACTGTACTATTGTATGAGTGGCTGAACTATAGTAGGAATGTCTCCCTCATCCCCCAGATTGACTCCTTCCAGGTGCTGCAACTCCACCAAAAATGCTCCTCCCACCTCCTGTATGGTCCTGATCAGGGATTTGAGAGATACCCCTGCTTTGGACAGCCCGGCATCCCCCTGAATAACCATCCTCCTCCCCCTACTACAAGCTCCATCCTCAGTGCTCCCTAATTGACCTTGGTATCCCCAAGGTCTGTAGCCACTTCATTCTCAGGATGACATTATTACTCCCCAACTCCAAAGGAAGAAAATCCTCCCTCACCTAAATCCTCTGAATGGTCAGCACAACTTCCCTACATACTTCTTTACCCATCTCAACCTTCCCCGTGCCCATCATCACCCCATAGCCACCTGTTTCCACTAATTTTACCCCTAACATATCTACAATCTGATTGGAGATGAAATTATGGGTTGCCCCACTGTCAATCAACACCGCCACCTATCTGTCAGTTATTTCTCCCTTCACTTTCATGGTGTGTTCGGGGTGAATCCCACCACTGAGTTTAGGGAGACCTCCGCCACATCCAAATGCAACTTCTCCTCTTCCTCCTCCACTAGCCCGCTCTCACCTCTGTCTTCAACTTCCTCGTCATCACAGACAGTGAGAACCTAAAGAGTTCGATCCTTACACCTATGCCCAAGCGTGCACTTCTCATCACATCTGAAGCACAATCCCCTTGCCCTCTTCTCTTACAACTCCTCAGTAAGCTTCTTGAAATTTCCCCCAAATCCCCCTCCTCCAAACTTCTCATTTGGTACTTCACGCACACCTCCCGGTGCAACTCCTTTAGGAGCTAAAAAAGTGGTTGTCATCCTGTATGACCCCCTCCCCCCTCGAGCTACTGCCTCAAGCCCCCCTCTCTAAATGCTTTTGGTCATCGACCAACTGTGCCAACTTCATGGCCTCCCCCAAGTCATGTGGCCTCATCACTCTAATAATTGTTCTGATCTCTGGTTTGAGCCTGAAGTTCAGCTCTAGCATGGTCTCA